GTAGCTCACCAACGTTTCAGAGGTGCAACAATCCGGAAGACAGTTGTCCTCATACTTGCCGCTGAGAGAACCTGATACATCACTTTTTACCTTTCGTTTACGCTGTTACCATTAATTCATTTCTGTTAATTTGTATGACAGACTGTAACTCTTTAATACACTAGGGCAGAACGCTCCTTTCGGAGCTTCTCGGAGGGGCTGGTCAAGTTTTTAAAAAGCAACCAACCCCTTCGGTTGGTTGCGTTTTAAAATCTTGTGCAAGAAACTAAACTAAACCCCCCAAATGGAGGGTTAAAACACTTGACCAACCCCTCCTTCGGGGGGGTTGGTTGCGTTTTAAAACCTTAAGTAAGACACTAAACTCGGCATTGTTGTGGAACACAACAATGCCGAGTTTGTTTATAGTTGACATTGTTGATGACGTAATTTATTGACGACGACGAAATCACAAATTTTTATAGTAAAGAAGATTATTGTGAAAAGTTGAAGGGTTCCAATGCCGCTAAATCCTCTGTGTTTAAAAAGCCACAGAGGGAAACCCAAAATCTGCTTACAAATTTGAGTGGAACTTCGTGGCAATAAACAGAACTGATTTGATCATTCCTGAAAGTTTGTATTATTGCATGTCATAAAAATTCCATGTAGTAAACAAAAGACAGCATGTCCTACTCCAGCAATAAATCTATTACAAAATTATAATAGAAAGAGCCATAATGTGAATTTAATTCTCAACTTTCACTCGATCGTTTGGCGCACAGCTGATCTTAGTACGAGCATACAAGTTTTAAATGTATTAGACACACAATCAAATATTCTATCAAATTTAAGAAGAATATGTTGTAACTTAATTATATTTACACAACAAATGTGTTCATGGGACCTATTATTTACAGCTTTGAAAGTACAGATACTGATTACTTGTCGTACAGAATAAAAGGAGATGCTGTTCGAAACGAAACTGAAATCACGATTCATAAAATGTGTCAAACCTTTAAAAATACAAGGAACAATTGATATTAATATATTTATTTTTTATGTTTAGATCAAAGTTTCTCAAATGCGGCGATGGTCGATGCGATATATAAAGTATTCAATGTGGGCCGAAGGCGTAGACATGTACGAGGTGCGATCGGAAGGTTTCAAGACTGCGCGTATAAAAACCCGTACACTTATCTCAGGTATTAAATTCATCCATCACCATCTAAGTTGTTCCCCTGGGAGTAAACACAACGATCCCAGCGCCGCTGCCAAGCCTGGAAGCATCCCTGGAAATCTTTCTTTGTCAGCCTGTCAAGCACC